GGCGGGGGAGGCGGAGCGGGGAATAAAGAGCTGGGCATTTCCGAATGAGTCTGTTGGTCAGGGACCGGCATGGGGCTCACCGAGCCAGAGTCACTCTGCAGAGAGCCAAGATTGCTGCCGTCAAAATGAGTCATTTTCTTCTTCATTAGTTTTCTTTCTTTGGCTCTGCGATTCTGGAACCAGATTTTCACCTGCAGAGGAGCAGAGGAAAATTGTTTTTCAGTTGCTAATAGAATGCAATGGGGTCCTTTATGCCTACAGTCAGGGATCACAGGTAAAATCACCTGCATGGGGACCTGTGGGAAAGGCAGTGGCAAACAGACAACTGAGCTGCTGGCTTGGTTTTCATACAGGTAATCTTTCCAATCTGGTAATAAAATACTTATTAATAGTTTGGTAAAAAGAGTTTCTCAGTGTTAGTTTTATTTTTTAGGTTTTTGTTTGTGGAGTGGACTTTGATTTTTTTTTTTTTAAAAAAATTTATCTCTTGGTACAAAATCTCAGAGAAGAGTATCTCATGTGTCATAGTGATAGCCAAAAGAATCTGAGAGTATCTTTACATTGAAATCTACATGCCCTAGTCAGAGCGAGTCAAAACCCGTTACTGGCCTATAACAGAGGCACAAAAGCTCCCTGGTTTGGGTGCTGCAGGTTAACTGGTTGGCTCCAAGGTGTGGGCCAAGGGAAGGACACTCCTGAGCAGCATTCACCAGTGCATTGCTGTTGGTGCACAACGTTACTTCAACATATCATAGGAGTGGTACCTGAATAGCTAAATGCCTTTAGTGCATTTGGAGATTGAGCCAGAATCTGCTGCTGCTTCCCACAGTCCACTGCTTTACACCACAGTCATTGCTCTGTCACAGAAACACCATCAGCTTTGGGAAGAAGTGAAGCAATGACTGAAGAGTGTGTGGTTTTGGTTAGGAGAGAACAAGTGAGGGCAGGGGATGAAGGTGATGAGCAATGTTCAACTGAACGTACAGCAGAACTCGTTCAGGTGTGAAAGGTGTGGATGCTCTGTGGCAACTGAGATGTCTTTGGATGTGACAAAGTGTTGGATTTAAAGCAGCACGTGGCAGCTCTTTGACCTTGGAGGGGGCTCTGTGTTAGGTCTAGTCAGTATAATAAGTCAAACTACCTCCTTCAGAGATGATGTCTTTTCTTGGTGCTGTTCAGATGGCAAAGGAAATACTTTTGCCACCATTTTCTATAACCCAAAGAAAAATCAATGGGTTGCTAAGAAATACTGATTTGTTCAGTTATCCTTTGCCAGAAGCTAGAAAGGGCAAAAGAATGGTGATCAGAAAGGAGGTAAAACAGCAAGAGGTGAGAGCATTTGTGGCTACGAGGTTGTTTTAAAAGAAAACCACTGATGAAGTCCCACAAAACGTCGTAAGGAGTCTCTGTGACAGCCTCTTACTCATCCTTGAGATGCTGTTATTCCCATTTTACCAAGAATTCAGGTACAGGCAAAGCTGCTGAAATTTGAATTGGGTCTCTGAAGTCTCGGGCTATCATCTGAGACATCTGACAGTTCAGTTTGTTGTCTCAGTTTCTGGAATATACTTTCAGTACCAAATCATGCTCCATTAAAGCAGCCTCACACACTCAGAACTCTTCTGTCCTGATTGTGCTGAGTTAAGTTTCACACATGCATTTGCCAAAATGCTTGAAAAGATGAAACAGCCTAAAACCCAAACTACCATCTGTTTCAGAATTGCCCACTGGCTTCAGCGTTCTTACCTGCCTTTGAATTTAGGTTTTTGATCTGATTTGTTATTAAACTGCAGAAATGATTCAGAGGGAACTTTTCACAGTTGTATGCCAGTTATCAAATAGCTCCAAGTGAACACAGGCCTGTGATGGCAGAGTAAAAGCTATCGTGGGTGGTTGCATCCATCTGACGTGTCCTTCACCTGTTGCCCTTTTTCCTTTCAGGACTTTTTTCCCCACTGTTCAGTTGTTGTGTGAGTAACTCTTCCCCTGAAGTCAAAGTTTCTTCTGTCTTGTCCTCATCATCTCCTTTATTTCTGTATCCTTCCCATATTAGCAATGCTTTGGTTTGCCTTTTTTTTTCTTCATTAGATACTACATCTTTCCTGCCTTGATTAAACAATTGCTCTTTTTCCTTTTGTCTTGAGATATTCCTTCTGGTGTCCTAGAGGGGATTTTGGCATAGCCAGGAAAAAAGCTCTTCCAGAAAATAATTTCAGCTTTTAGGCTGAACTGGGATAGGTTTTAGTGGAACTTGGGGTAGGACAGCAGATGTTCAGTCCTCCTTATGTGGTTTAATTTGTACAAGAGGGTAGTGGTGGGAGTACAGACCAGGTATTTCTTTCTCAATTTTTAGATTCTCAAAAGTGACTTCAGAATTGTAGGCTCTAGGCACTGGGATTAATTTTGTTCATGACACAAGCTGATGATGAAGAAGAGCAGATACTGCAAAAACTGTCATCATGTTTCCCTAGTATATGTCAAAGCAACGTGTCATGTATTTTTGTCACCACTTCCAATATACTAACAAAAATGTTTATCATGAATTATCAGTGAACTAGAAAGTTTCAAGTAAATATTGTTGGTCATTTATGGAAGCAAGCAGGGTCATAATTTTAAAATCAAATATAATTAAGTCAAGTTATTAAGGTTTTGACAGCCAGCAAAAAGACACAGTAGTGTATTTTTTTATATATCCCAGTTGAAGTAATTTGAATTTTCAATAATTAAAAAACCCCCATACTTTCCTCAGCAGATGGAGAAATGTTGCAAAGTGGGTATTTGCCTCTCTGTTTCTGTAAGCTCCTTCAGCGTGGGCTGCGTGGGACAAGTTCAAGTTGGGTGAACAGTGCTACAAGTGGGTGGATTTTGGGCTATCCCTGCTCAGTAGAGCCCATGAACTCTGAATCAGGCATAACCTTCAATGAACAATACTGGATAACAACTGAGAAAGCAGCACTGGGATGGTGTGTGAAGAGAAGAGGCAGCAAAGGAGCATATTGTGTCCAGGGAGATCCCTCAGGAAAGCTGTGTGGGTCCTGTTTCACTGCTGCCTTCAGTGTGACTGCATCCAGACACTCCAAGTGGAATGGGACCAAACCTCCACTCTGCCCGTGCTGCGAGTGTCTGTGTGGCAGATCTAACCTGGCATCTGATCTCAAGAGCCAGGGCCACATACCTGCTCTGCTTTGGTGGAGGGTTGCAATTGTGTGATGGAAGAACTCGCCGCAGAGCAGTTCCAGAGCAATCTGTGTGTATCTTTTGACCAGAAGGGATTGTGTTCTGATTTATGTTGTGGGAATAGAAGTGGAATTTGAGAGGAAACAGGCAGGAGAAAGGAGTAGAAAGTATATAGGAAACCTTTAACAAAAAGTAAAAGGCAGCCAAAGAAACAAACACCTTCAAGTGTCCTGAACATACTTGAGCTCATCACCTCCATCCTCTGCTAAGACTGACCTTGTTGAAATTGGTATGGAATTCCCACTGACTTCAGCAGAACCAGGGTTTCCACTTCAGAAATTGCAGTAAAAATTTCTCCCAGCTACCTGCACCCCAATAAAACCGAGAGCAATGCAAGCAGGATTTTGTTGACATTTTTAAACCCTTGTTTCTCAGGCAGGACTCTATGTAAGACTGGTGTTTGCTTCTCCTGTGTTGTTGCACAGCTCCCTGCTAGGAGCTGAGGTAGGTAGTGCTGCTGGGAGGGCTAGAAAAGAGTGCCCCCAGGGCTGCCAGGCCATCCAGCTGGGTCGTTTGAGCTCCTACACTGCAAAGAGAACCCAGTTACACTGTTGGGTTATTAGAGGCATTAGCAATTTTTGTGTTCTTAACCAGTATGCTTGTCTGCTCATCAGCAATAATAAATTCAAAGGAAATCCTGAAGGAGTGATCCATACTCTACCTGTCTCTCGGAAAGTCTTAGGTTTGCAGCAAGTTCAGACTTCCTCCTGATTGTAATGTATCTGTTGTAATGAAACTCCTTCTCTAATTCTAATCTCTGATGATCTGTGTAAACCACTCGGTACTTCTCTCTTGTTCTTGTTTTACCTGTTTTGAAAGAAGAACACATTGCTTCAAAGTAGAATTTTTTAACTTTAGTCACACAGAATATCTGGCTTTACATTTGAAAATAAGTTTGGGGGTATTTTAGGCCTGATTCTGTATGCACTTACCCAGAGTAACTCCCTTGACTCAGTCTTGATTTACAACACAAGAGGTTCCTACCATCACATCTGGGGTTTGATCCTTAGTAAATAGATGACAGACTGCTCCTCATATTCCTTATCACCCTCGTGTTATCATTTGGGAAAGGGAAGATGTTCTTGTTAAGAGCAAGGAGCCAGGAGACCTGGGTTCTGTTCCCAACTCTGATGCAAGCTTCCTGCCTGCTGTTGAATTGCTCTTGTATCTCTGTCCCTAAAGCTGATCCACTGCTACGTGCTTCAGAGGGAAATTGTGAAAGATATTCCCCTGCCTAGAAAATGTTGAGGACTTCCCAAGTCCCTCACTTCTTGTTACTGAAAAAAATAACACAATACTGTGATTGCTAGTGCAATTTGGAGGTGGTGTTTTCCCCTCGAGTCTGGCACAGTCTATCCACAGCTTGATAACAGCACAGGGAGCAGTGACATGGCTTTTCAGAGGACAGTTAATGAAACACCCCAAGCAGTAGTGCTTCACAAAGGGCTCTGAGCGCTGGGAGACCCGGAGCAGCTGTGCCTCTGCAGGCAGCACTGCTGCCCCCTCGCAGCTCTGGCTCCAGCTGAAGGGAGCAGACCCGGCTCAGCAGCATCCGAGTCGTTAAAAGGCAATTCCAAACCACAGGAGCCAGTGAACACAGATGCAAGGGGATGAAATTTTATGGATTCCATGCAGGATGATAACAGAGGACAGAATGTGTTGGCTGCATTGAAAGAGAATTGAGAAGGGGAAGGGCTGCTGCTGCTTTCTTTCTCAGCCACTGTTCCTGTGGTGTTGCTGTTCATTTTAGGCAATCAACAGAGATCAACACTTGCTCAAAACCCAGGCCCCTGAGCCCCAGCCAAAGCTTCCTCCCTGTCTGAGACTGAATCATTGTGTCAGCATGTTCACCAACTACAGACTAGGCCTTTTTTTGGTGCTTCCTTGTCTATGTTTATATGGACATTTCCTCAGATGTACATATTTAGACTGTAAATTATGTGGGACAAAATGTATTTTTAGGTGGGTTTTAATTTTGGTCAGTGTGTTCCACTGTAGTACTGTACATCAGGAATCTTGGTGTCCTTAGTGGTCACTACAGTGGGACAGCCTCTTTGGATGCAGGTTCTCTTAAATGATGAATACAACTTGAAGCATGTTGTGCTTTTCTGCCTGTAACAGTCTGATAGTGCTGCAGCTGCAGCTCAGCTTCATGCAACAGCTCATCTTTGCTTAGAGATCTTTTTCTGGAAAGACTGTGTGGACACCCAACTCCTCAAAAACCAGGTTCCTCAGATTCACAATATTGCACCACTAGTAATAGCAGTTAAATGGAGAGGACTGAGATATTTTCAGGCATTTTGTTGGTAAAACGTGAGTCTCTGAGCAGATCACCATAGCCCCTAGCAACCAGCTTCCCCCCTGCAGGAGAGAGGAGCTGGAGCTTTCATCTATGGGTGGTGCCAAAGGCCTCATTTCTCCCCAGCCCCTCCTTCCAACTCCCCTTGCTTTTGAAGTTTGAGTAGCACCCAAAGATCAGAATTCAGAACTAAAGCAGAAAGCTGAAGTACTTTAATTCATTATCTGATTTCATGGGCTAATGTATTTTCCCCCATCTGTGGAAGGAGAAGTGGTATCTCTTTGTTTTAATAAAGTGAACATTGCCTTCTCCTTGCTGTGTACACTGTATGGGAAGGGCTTGAGTGCCATAGCACTTTTTGCCTCTTCCAGCATCTGCCAGTCAGTACTTAGCCACTTCTAAGGCTTTTCTGGCTCACCAAAGTATTGTTTGCATGAGAAGGATCTCCAGGCTCTGATCTCTTTTGTCCTGTTGAGGTAGATCCTAGATAGTGAGTTGTTTAGCACTGGAAGTCCTGGTCAGTGTGCTGCTGTAAACAAACATTGTTCCACCTCTGCTTCTGGATAATAACTGCTTCACCCCA